TCAAATATCTAATTTATATACGAAGAAGAATGCCTCTCAAGCAAGTCATGAAGAAGATCCGCACCGAAGACTTCAATCCCACGTGAGTTTGTTCCCTTTTGCCATTTTTATCGATTGGCCATAATCAAACGGGAGTATATTGACTCGGCCTCGCCCAATTACAGTGAAACCCAACTACGCAGCAGACTCAAAAAATGGGGGGTCACCAAGCCATCACGACAACGACGGAAGAGGCCTGCTACCCGCCCGACTGACCGCGCAGCAGTATCAATATCACAGGCGCAAGAACTGGAACTACGCAGCCAAGCCAATGACAATTATATTCCTCAATTTGTTGGATACCCTCCCTCTAGTGGATCTTCTATGCACCCAGGAACATGGGATTCACGAGTCCGCTGGATATTAGTACCTTCTCATGATCCTGCGCACCAGCCAAAAACCGTTCCCTGCTGTGATGGCCGCCGAAAGAGCGCCTCCTCAAATGCTTCCCGAGTGGAAGGTACTTCTTCACCTCCAGCTAGCTACCCCGATCACCATCATCACCACCACAATAACTCCTTCGATTGTCAATACCATACTGCAAGCCCTACTAAGGACGTATCTCCCAGAGTTGAGAGCTGTCCAGTAACAGTTTTCACTGGAATCAACCCTAATCTCACCACCTCCCCGGGCGATATTACGCCAACCAGTGATGCTGCATCAAGCGGGCTCCCAACAGACTGGCAATCACCCGATAGTACCCATCATGCTATTCGCACCCCAGGGTCTACCCTTCCGTCTCCTGCTATCCAACCAACAAGCCCTTGGAACTATTCCAATCCTGATATGCGCCAGCGATGCTCACCCTCTATCTATCCGCTTGACGACGCAACCGTGGAACAACAGGTGAATTACGTGAAAGAATATTTGGACAATGACGACAATCTCTCATACCCTTCCCTTTTGGATCTCCCGTTGAATGATGGTGAAGTTCTTGATTCATTTTCCATGAGAGCCTGGAAACGGCCTTCCTCCAGTGGTGATGGGACCGCCCAGTTACCGTATCAGGGTGATATTTCCCCCAGAGACCGTCAAAGCATCAAGGCACAAACCCCAGCGTCCTCGGGGCCATGTACAACTGCAACGACGCCATCCACTTTAGCAGTTACTAGCGGCTATCAGAAAATGGAGTCTCCAAGCCCAATTGACCTTTCTGCCGTTGGGGGAGTTCCAGGCTCCCTGAGCCTTGTGTCCTACCAAGCGTACAAAACCGAAGCCATGAACAATGAATATCTCCTTCCTTCAATTTTACCTTGAAAAGTTTTCGTTTTTCCTTTTTCTCTCTTACACAGCATTCTTGTTGGATACCCATTTTTGTCTCTCTTTAACATCTGATTCATAATACGCTCGCTCTAATCATAATAGCCAACCTAGTATAATCTGTCCTTTGGATCTATACCTTGACTGTCAGTTTCAATTCTGCGAAACGGTGCAGTATATTCTTCATTTCTCTGATATTCTACAGCGCTAATCGTGGCGTATGGTGCCTTTTTTTGTCTGTCTCTTCTCTTATTTTTTTTAAATTCACTTCTAGATGACACTCAGGTATGGAAAAGGGGCCAGGCAAAAGAGTGGGAGGAAATTAAATGGGAATATAATAGGGGTTTATCTGTTTGTCTGAACTGGGCGTTATAACTATCTCCCCCGATATCTCCGTGTCTGATGCTTTTATTTTTTTGTTGCATCTTTATCATGGTGAATGCCTGTCTGTACGAAATGATATCTGTAAGGAGCTGGATACTCCTTGAGAAAAGCTTTTGCTTACCATGTGAAATACTCGACTGATTTGTACGATTTTTTCTGGAGAAGATAGCTCAACTGATCTATTAACTCACTTGCGATCTGTTATTTCGGGTTTGGAGGTACCAGGATGTGTATCAGTTCTAGTTGATAAAAGACTTATTATACGAACCTGGCCACACACACTCTCTCTCTCTCTTCTACCTCTTCGCTCGTCTTACCATCGCCTCCCCCTTTTATACATTGCACAGCTGGCGCCCTTTGCAACAGTGAAGAACAAATACAGGCTTCTGCTGTCCGACACTGGACGGCCGAAGTAGGAGAGGGTGTCATATTGTTTTAGGCACCCTACCATTTCTTCCCTCCCTATCCTATCAATCACCGTCTTACAAGATTCATGTCGTTGAATATAGGCACACAGTTTCGTTGACTTCCGATCTGCCAATCTGGAGAAGAGCCGCGGACCTCGGCTCGGTTAACAATTAACTGGCTAAGTACCAGCTACTGTTATTAAGAATACTTTCAGGGAATACACATTTTATCTCAGGTTTCGAGATAATATCAATAAAGTCTCACTCAGGATGCGCGCAATCCAGGTCAGGGAATATGTCCAGGTACGGCTCAAGAGCACCGCTGCCGATAGAGCTCGGCTTGCTAATTGCCACAAACATTTCAACAGGGGCCGCTAGATCTGACAGTGTCAACTTTGCCTACGCCTTCTCCGAGTGCGGATAAGTACCTGATTAGAATCCGTGCAGCAGGTACCAACTTTTTCGACCTACTCCAGATTCAAGGCAAATACCAGCACCAACCACCTCTTCCATGGATCTCAGGCATGGAATTTGCCGGGGTCGTCCTGAGCACTCCTACAGCCAGCAAGAACCCTCGATTTGCGGTTGGGGATCGCGTGTTTGGAGCCACCCAAGGCGCATATGCCACGCATGTCTTATCTGCTGAGGCTTCACTCTTTCCACTTCCACAGGGCTGGAGTTTCGAGGACGCTGCGGGACTGTTTGTTACCGCACCGACCTCATACGGCGGGCTGGTCCACAGAGCCAACGTGCAGAAGGGAGATTGGGTCCTTGTACACGCCGCTGCAGGCGGAGTAGGTCTAGCAGCCGTCCAAATTGCCAAGGCCAAGGGAGCTACGGTCATTGCTACGGCAGGTACAGATAGGAAGAGGCAGGTGGCACGGGATTTTGGAGCCGATTATACGATTGACTACAGGGACACAAAGTGGCCAGAGGCAGTGAAGAAGCTGTGTGCCGAGAATAGGAGCGGTAACGGAAAGGCGGGCGTGGATATCGTGTACGACCCCGTCGGCATGATCGAACAGAGTCTGAAATGTGTAGCATGGAACGCTCGACTGCTGGTTATTGGGTTTGCGGCGGGGAAGATCGAAAAAGTAGCGCTCAACAGAGTGTTATTGAAAAACGTGAGCCTCGTGGGTCTTCACTGGGGGCAGTATGCTACCTTTGAGAAGGAGACGATGGTATCCGTCTGGAGCGGTATATTCGACTTGATCAGGAGTGGCAAGTTCAAGGGCACTAGCTTCACCGATGAGACGTTTGTGGGCTTGGAGTCCGTCCCCAAGGCGCTGCGGGCTCTTGGGGGACGGGAAACTTGGGGTAAGGTCGTCGTGCAGATTCCCGATGACGAAGGTGGTACGAGCCAATCCAGCAAACTCTGAAGCGGTGGTTGATATAAATTCAAATAATATATTTAGGCACCTAGTTGGGCAGATTAAAAAAGGAATTGTGTATATACAGAAATATGTAGGTGCGCAAGGAGTCATGCTCTCCGTGGAAAATCTCCCAACCGGGAACAGAGAACAGCATGAACTATGAAGGCCCTTTTTGGAAATTTGATATTGCAATCCGAGAATCGTCGTGAAAGACCTCTGAGTGTCTTGCGCAAAACCATCTCTCAAGCCCGGCTCCAGCCATGCACTGACACAAGACGTGACCAGACGCGGGCTGTCTTCGTAATGAAAGTCCGTGGATCTTCCATATCGGCGGGACAGTCGGGCTTGGGGATTGCGGTGAGAAATATCCGTATTTGATAGGATCGTTTGAGAAGCAGAATAAAGCAATATCGGCGAGAGGATTAAAACGCCTCGTCAAAGTGTATTGATCGGTGACATGGCGGGCGTTCGCTTATCCTAAGGGACTAGTTACCATCTTTTGGCTCTGGCTCGTTTCAAGCTGGCAGACTATGCAGCGAGTTCACTGACGCTCATCGAGTTGTTGTTTGTTCTTCTTCTTTTGCGGTCAAAATGATTTTTCCTTTCAGGTAAAGATCATATTATGTAATATATTAGTCATGTAAATTAGTCATCTTGAACCAAAAAAGGAAGGCCGATGTTGCTTATATAAGCAGTTTTCTTTCGTTTATCTAGTTTATACCACATAGTAAGTACGGAGTAGTATAGCTACTATCTATTTGCATAGCTTGGTACGGTTTCAGGACTTCCGCATCACCTTGTTCCTCTCATCTCTTCGACCCTGTTTTGACCCATGCAAAACAGGCATATGACTCAGGTCAGTTTAGTCATGTCCGTGGATCCCTGTTGGAAGCCATCATATATATAATACATGGCAATGCCCCTTTTGAAGCCCTGTTTCACTGACTATCAGAGGCTCAGCTTGAGGCGAATGGCCACCAGTTGGTCGCATAGGGTATGTACATATAGTCTCTTTGAAAGAGCCTCACTGCGGCCGGGTGCCCACCCCCAAGGACAACGCTTCTGTCATACTCTCACGCCGAGCGAAGTGGCGATGCTAGCCAAGGCCAGGGAAGAAACTCGGTCCGTTAATACTCGAGAAATAAGATGACCTCAGGTCCATGGCAAGGTAGAGTTCAGGGAGGCAGTGCTTGTTTACCGGGAAGTTTGGAGACGGGAAGGAAGACTCCTCGGCTTTG